CACTGCTGCAACCATCCTCTTCACTATCATCATCCGACTCATTGTTGGACTCATCACTGTCTATGTTCATCTCGTCCGAGGAACCAAATGTGTTCTCATCGTCTGTATATCCGCCATAGAAGTCATCCTCTACCAAATTATACTCGAAGCTAATCCCCGCGTCACGAGTCAGTTCAGTAAGGTGCTTCCAAAGACGTGTCTCAAGAATTCTCTTGTCAGAGTGTAGTAAAAATACTTGAACCTCACGCAGCTTAGGTGTATGAGTCGCACTGCTGGCCAACAGGTGTTTTAATGAACGAAGGTGGTTGCGGTCTTCTGGGTCAGCTCGGATACGCGTTTGGAATGACCCCAGCGACGACGGTAGTCCATTTATAAACTCTTTACCATATTCCGCTACCAGTGTACCCAAAGGGCAACTGAGTTCTTTCAACGATGTAAACTCGGTTAGGCCGCTGTGGTTGTGAAGTCGACCAGGCGTTTTCCTCTCTATTTCCATCTCGCAGTAAATCGTAAGAGTTTCTAGCGATTTCTGATGAGGCCTTAGACTCTTGGCTAGCTTGCGAAGAATAGATACGGGCGACCCATTGAACCACGGTACCATGTCCACAGATATGGCATATTCAAAAGCCTTCAAATGCCGTGAAGTTGAGATTAAGAAATCCAAACAGCTTTTAGTGTAAAAATAGCCGTTTAGAGAAAGTGTCTCTATATTATTTTCCCTTTTGTCTATCATTCCTCGAAGCGTCCGAGCATTGCTCTCTCCTCGACGGGAAGAGTGGAACTCCGCGATTCCTATTAACCGTAGCATGCGCAATGATTGAAACCTGAACAAAGGCGCGAGAGTAAATAATTGCAAGTCAAATGCATGGACCGTGACTTCTTGTAGATTTTCAAAGTGATGGATTTTCCCATTTTCGCAACCGAGTGCTTCGTTCATAAAGAATGACCAGTCGGGAGCGTTCGCGAGAGACTTGGACCGATCATAGCCAGTATACGTGATGGTCTGTACATTCGGTAAATATAGTAGGATTATGCCCGTCAGTACTTCGTAACTTCCAGGGTCGTTGTTGCATTTGTCTACCCATTTTCTCCAATAGCGGATTTCGAGGGCCTGCACAGCCTTTTTGATCACCCTTTTGTCCTGCGCTGTTGGTTCGTATCGCGGATTATATTTGTCCTCCAAGGTATTTCTCTTCACGTGCTGTACGAGTGCGGCCAGTTGCGGATTCGATATCAATGTGCGGAGGAACAGGTAGGCGTTGCAGTAGCGTGGGTCGAACAGCGCATAAGCCTCTATGATTGCAATGCGGTAAAAACGACGGCTTGTGCATGCCAAACTCAGAGCATTTGAAATCTTTCTCTTGTGGGTTTCCGTATCTGACAAGTACTCCAGTATCTCAAGGATGAGCTCGTCAGGTAAGTCTTTGATTGTCGCATGCGAGTTTTGTTTTTTCGAGGGTGATGCCGCCGCAGCTTCATGCGCAAGGAGGAGCCTTCGCCTTTGCTCCTCAGAAGGGAGTAAAGGAAAGTCCCAGTCGTTGAAAATCGGCATAAGTGCTTGAAATTTAGAAAAAATATTCTGTGGAGCAAAACGATGCCTTGATTTGACAATTGAAGTAGAGGTGTAGGTGTTCCAAGGTAGCGGAGGATATCTGCTGCTATAATAGGGCGGATCACTCGGCCTGACGCTGATTTCAGCTCTCTGTTTGCCACACGGAAACATTCAGCCTCTATATATGTCAAAATTATACGATATCCCCAACTACCTCAGCTTCGCCCACCTAGGACATATTGATTTTGGCTGCGATTTTCCCGTCTGTGTCCACAAAACCCAAGTATCTTCGACATCCGCAAAGAGTCCCATCCAATAAAATCTAGTACACATCAGATAAGGAATTTACTAATCAACATTGCCCCCGCACCCCCACAAGCACCCCTGCTTGGCTACTTCGCAAGAGAGTTGAGAGCATTCCTTCACGACATTACCCCTCTTTCGCCATGGACAGTCTATCCGAGGAGCTTCTGGATCATATTATTTCCGAGGCCGTGAAACCTTTACCAGACCGGCATGGTGTTCGTTATGCAGACCTCGTCAGTTTATCCATGGTATCACGCAAATTCCATCGCATCACAGAGCCATATCTGTACTACTCTATTGTCCTATTGGAGAAGAACAAAGACCAATTCTTGCAGACAATAAGGTGTTGCTCTGAACTATCACAATATACTCGGGAGCTCTGTATCAAGCAATCCTGTAACATCACACATGAAGTGTTGCGTCTTGCTCAGCATCTTCCAGGTCTGCACAAGTTGGATCTGGACCTCACGTCTTGCAAGACTTCAGATCTTTTGCCCATACTGCAGCTTCCATCAGTAACAACACTGTGTCTTTCTGGTGTTGTAGCCAGACAAGTCGATGATGCTAGTTCCATCAACTGGGGAATCGCCAACACGGCCATCGCGAGTCTTGAGATGTCCTTTTCGGATCCCGAGACCTGGTGGGAAGATTGCGACGAGATTTGGAAATTTGCTGCAGTCTTTCGCAACTTGGAAAGCTTGCGTATTCATAGCGACTACGAGGGAGAAAGGAAACATACACTCAACGGCCCAGTCTTTCGGTGTCTCGTGCATGCTTTTAGACATGCATTTGAGACCAGTCTCCGCTCTTTCAGCTTCAAATGCAACGATGTGAACCATGACTACATCTACCAGGGTGACGTGGCCGTCAGCGGCGCGTTCGATGCGAGAGAGATTCTCAAGCAGTCGCAACTCAAGAGCCTGGAGATTGATACAATGTGTCTGCACAGGTCAAGTCAAGAGGAGAAGCTGAGGAGCCAGGAGCTCGGTCCGTCATGCCTGCCAGCTTCGTTGCGCACGTTGTATCTGCGCCACCTTGTCGCGACAGGCAATCTGAACCCTACAGAACGAAACCTTATGCATTCGGATGAGGCACAGTGTTTGTCACAGCTAGTCAACCTGGGAGCGCGAAGAGCGCGTTTCCCAAATCTAGAGAAGATGACACTAGCTATCTCTCTACCTCCCTTCTTTGAAGAAGTTGCTTCGAGGATCGTCAGAGTCCAAGCGCGAAAAGTAAAATCGCAACTAGAGCTGATACTGATGTAAGTGCGGAGGGGAGTGTGCGGTTCGCAATAGCTGAAAACAAGCAGGTCTGAGTGGGACTATGTCAGTGATGATACGGTCAGATCATGGCCAGAGTATCATGTTACTCGAGACCCACGGCATTCTTTTTACGATCCGACATTTATACGCTGCGCATAGCCATTTCCAATATTTGACGATTGTGGATTGCTGTCAGTGTTTCTCAAATCACCCTCTGGTTACTTACATCCGTTACTCTCTCGCTCTCTTGAGCAACTAAACACCAGACTGTGAATTTCGATGTGTACTGCCATGCGAGATCATATCTTCGTACTTCTTCGATCAAGATGGGATAAGATTCTGCCAAAAAGCTTCAAATTGCATGTGAATGCTACAGAGCCTCTGATTGATGGCTTCGTACAACATCCTGGTCGTCTGGGGGGTTGAAAAATCTTGGCAGAGGCTTGCAACACACGGAAATCTTGGGCTACCGAGAACACCGAGATGCAGCTACACGTAGAAAGGGTTTTGACAGTGTTTGGCCAAAGGTAAGCATGGATGCTGACAGCATGGGGATTAAGGGCGCGCTATGAGCCTTTTGGGCTAACAGTCAGATTTAGGTGTCACGGTCCGATTGGATGAATCTATATGCAGTTGCGTGTTCCGCAGCCTTCAGCCACGATGAGCGTATACGCAAACAGAACAGCATCGCCGCAGACCATCGCATGTGGCCTTTCGTTAGCTTGACTACGAAGATGCCGGGGGCGGAGCGGTCAGTGTTAAGATACAGAGCATGCTCTATTTAAGGACGCTGTCACCGACCCAACCTCTTGTTTCGTTTCCATTCCAAACAGTCCTCACAAGTCATTTGCATCTCACTCAACATTCACAGCCCTAGTTCTTCGTAAATCCTACAACAAAGTCCTACAACAAGCTTTCGAAATGGCCTCTCAAGCGCTTGTCCTGGCAACCAACTCCGCACTGCAACAAAAACCCGCACCCATTGCCCCTCACAACTCGCCAACCCAACAACAACAGTCGTCAACCAACAAATCAGGTGGCTTCTGTCTCAAGAAAGGCCTCGATAGCCTCACCGAGATGCTTGAGCGCAAGATCGACCACCAGATTCTTCTCGCTAAGACCCGAGCTCATGCCGCGTCATCGTCACAAGAGACACCTGCCGATCGCGATTCCAAACACGTGCACTGGGAAACTGGCAGCAAGCTTCAGCAGACAGTAGCCTAGAGTCCCTAAAACACGTAGTTGGAGTACTAAAATCATGCCAAGAGGGGCTGACGTGTTACGATGAAGCCGTTTAGCTTCTTGGGTCTGGTCTTTTGCGGATCCGCTGGGTATTGATTTCATTTGCATTTGCACGAGAACAGTGTATACGCGTCTAAGCAAGAGTTTGGTACGAGTGGGCAGGGATCGATTTACGCCTTATGGCTAGTAGGCATTCTCTACATATTTCACCGATATTGGCGTGGAGTGTCATCACATGCCTACTAACAACAAGGCAACGAGTCAAGGATAGATATGGTCATGTGTTAGGAACAGTCCGGCAATATGAGGACCAAAGAGCGAATGTATGAAATACCCAAAGGCTATTAGAGGAGATAAAGAGGGGCGTTATAACGTATTTGTTCACATTAGCGAGCTATCATTTTCATAGGAAAGGATATTTTACTCTCATAGAACAACAATTGAATATAACATAGCAGCAGTATCTTACAGCATTTGACGCAACCACTTTATCCATCACTATTACACGTGATCATTGATCCAGGCAACAAGCTTTCCTCGTCAAAGCTAGTGCAGCCATGCAAGACCCAATCGCTACATTCAGATCCAATACACTCTCCCTCATCACGACACTCTGTATGTCAAAGCCGTCCAACGACATGGCAAAATCTACGCAAACATACAGCAAGCACTTCATCCCACTCGAGTCGAGCCCGGAAATATTCACAGAACTTGCGCACAATGTAGGGCTACCTGCGTCGTTAGAGTTTCACGATGTTCTTTCCCTGGATGATCCAGAGTTACTTGGGATGCTGCCACGACCGGTATATGGGCTGATTCTGATACTTCCGACGACAGAGGCGTACGAAAAACGAGTCAAGGATGAGGATACCAAGCTGGAGAGTTTGCAAGGCACCAAGCAAATCGAGGATGTGGTGTTTTTCAGACAGACGATTAACAATGCGTGTGGGTTGTATGCTATTTTGCATGCTGTATGCAACGGGCAGGTCAGAGAAAGGATAGGTCTGGATGGGATTAATATATATTGAAGACAAGGCCAACGCAGTACAGAGTCCAGCTCGATTGTTGGGAGAGTGCTTAGCTCAAGCCTGACGAATGATGTAGATGAACTGTCTAGAGCGCTGGAGAATAGCAAGGAGCTGGAGAAGGCATATGCTGACGCAGCTATCCAGGGCGATACGGATGCGCCAGTCAATGCTGAAGACGAGGTGGATTATCACTATGTTGCTTTTGTGCAGTCATCCAAGAGTGGACATCTCTACCAACTCGATGGAGACCGGAAACGTCCCATTGATCTTGGGACACTGGAAACCGATGAAGATGTTCTTGGAAGCAAGTGTCTTGATGTCATTCGGAACATGGTAGCACTTGAAAACAACAATGTCAACTTTAGCTTAATGGCCCTAGTTGAAGGCGCACGATTGTAGGTAGCCAAGGAGTCACACTCTCGGTGGAAAAGTCTCCGGAGAGCAGTAAAGTGTGAACTATGAAGGACCTTTTTATTTGTTCTTGCAACCAAGAATGCACGTACTGGAGTACAGCCGCATGCACCACAGCCAAGCAAGACGCGAGGCTGTGGGATGCTCCCCGAAGGGACTTGTAAAGGTGTCGTAGACCAAGTGGCTGGTGTGCGAGTTGCGTCCTAGGAAAAAGCGATTACTACGACAGTGGACATGAATCATTTCACCTCGTCCTAGAGGGTTGTTGAAGCTGGCCCATGTGATGTTGGAGAGACAAGGAGGGTGAATGTGTGCGAAGAAAAGTCATCGAGAGGCCGGGCGCATGGACCACCACGCGCTAGGCTAGCTCTGTAGCTTCACCTCGAGCGACGTCCCCGACCGCGATTGTGGTAGAATCCATAACTTACTCCCCACCCACCCTATCACGCCCAAATCGCAACCATGACTAAGAAGCGCAAGAGGTATCCGGATCTGAACCAGAAGCTAGAGGTCAGCATATTGAGAGCGAATTGTACACGAGACACGCATTGACAACCCGACAGCGACCATGGTGCTACTACTGCGAGCGCGACTTTGACGACTTGAAGATTCTCATCTCTCACCAAAAAGCCAAACACTTCAAATGCGACCGCTGCGGACGACGGCTGAACACTGCCGGAGGTATGCCGTCGCAATACTACAAGCCTCGCTCTCCCCTAACATTTGACCAGGTCTCTCTGTGCACATGAACCAGGTCCACAAGGAGAACCTCACGCACGTCGAGAATGCCAACCCAGGACGCCAGGGCCTTGAGCTCGAGATCTTCGGCATGGAGGGTGTGCCCGCCGAGATAATAGAGCAGCACAACCAACAAGTCACACAAGCACATTTCGCCGAGGAGCAGGAGCGCGCGCGGTTAACGGGTAACCCGATGCGCGGGGCGTACGTAAATGGCCAGGCTGCGCCGAACAAGAGGCCCAAGATCAACGAGAGTCTGGACGAGATTGAGGCGAGGGCGGCCAAGTTTAGAGAGGACCGTAAGAACGGTGTTCTCCCGCCGCCAGTGGAGCCCGTGCAGAATGCAGTATGTACATGTCGAGAAGAAGAAGAGAGTGAGAATGTGACTAACAAATTCATCAGACTCCGCCAGTCGTTCAACCGCCCTATGGCGCTCCTCCAGGCGCTCCTGTGGCCTTCCCACCTGGCGCTCCTGCATACCCACCTCAAGGCATCGCGCAACCCTTCTCACCCGGCAACGCCGCCATACCGACACGACCAGGCAGTATACCAGGCCAACCCGGTGCGCTTCCACCTCGACCAGGCTTTGGCGCTCCACCGCCCGGTGCATTTCCTCCAGGACCCAACGGCGATATTTCCAATTCTGTCGACGATCTCATCAACGAGGTTACCAAGGAGGCGGCGCCCAAGGAGGAGAAGAAGAGCAAAAAGGACAAGAACCAGCGGCTCATTTTCTTTGCCGAGACAACGAGTCCCGAGGAGAAGATGGCGGCATTGCCAAGGTTTGCGGAGTTTATGCGGACGTGATTGGGGAAGCGAAGCTGATGGGAGTGTGCGTGGTGTATCTTGACATCTTTTCTTGGTCCAATTGCAAAGGAATGCACGTGGGGATGGTTTTTTTTGAAAAAAAAAGAAGAGCTTGCCTTTAAAGAGGCGTGAGAAAGGGGGCCCAGACAAGATGAATGACAAGCTTATTGATGGTATTGCGCCGCGGAAGGGAAAAGGATGTACATCTCTTTTATTCTTCTCTACCCGCCCAAGACATGGAACGCGACGCGAGTAAGCAAACAGGGACGTGTTTTCTAGTCTAGCCATGTTTGTTTGTATACAGACGGTACATGTATATGTCTCAGAGCCCGAGACAGAGAGAGACATAGCTTTCGAGCGCTGATTACGAAAATGAAAGACTATAATCCGGTCCATTTTTTGAGATAAACATTGTCAGTCAGTCAGAAAGAGAACGAGAGTGGGAGATGTATGTTCCAAAGAACCAAAATCAGGGTATCTTGCATTAGGTGACGTGTAATCTGGGGCCGTATAACTAACAAAGCTATACAACAGTACATATGTGTAAATCGCGAGGATGAGGAAAGAAGAAAGACAAACATCGAGGTAAAAGGGTAGGCCACATTTTTTTTTCTTGCCAGAATTCCACGTTTCTATTATCGTTTTGTGGCCAAGAAAGAAGAAGGAGAACGATGAAGGAAGAATCATTGATCATAAAAGCCCAATTCCTCGCCTTCTTCCTGCTCATCCTCGTCGTACTCTTCGCTCTGCTCATCCTCGCTGCTACTGCTAGCCTCACTGGCACGCGCCCACTCCGACGTCTCCGTGAAGAGTGATTCGCCGAGATCCAGCGCGCGAGCTTGCGTGGTCGACCGACCGAGTAAGCCCTCTCCATCACTGTGATCTTGCTCAGGCATGGGTTCCACCTCCTTAAGCAGCGTCTTCTCATCATCCTCGTCAGGCGACGCGCGCGCAAAGCCTACAGATTTCGCAGTGTTGGGTCGCTCATGCTCCTCTGCATGCGAGGACGCAGGGGTAAACCGGGGCTGCTCTTCGATGATATCGCCGTTCCAGGGTCTGCATGCGGTGATGTTTTCGCCGCAGCGGAGACAGGTCCAGCCTTCGCCTTCTTCGTTTGCGATGCGCTGGGCGAGGCAGGCGAAGCAGTAGATGCAGCCGCACGAGGTGGACTCGTAGGGGTTTGTGATGTCTGTTGCTGCGCTGCCGACGACGCCGCCGCCGCCGGCTGACGAGGCCATGATGTCGGACTCGGTGGCGGTGGTGGGGTTTTGGTCGCGGTAGCAGATTGCGCAGGTGCGTTCAGGGAGGAAGCCGAGTTCGCCGGAAGTTTTGGCTTCATCGTCTTCGGTGGAGGAGGTGGTGGATTTTCCCATAAGGGAAAAGAGGGTTGCGCGGAGTTTCTTGAAGGTGCGGCTTAGAATGCGGCGCCAGCGTGATATGCCGACTAGAGGGAGGAGGAAGAGTAGGAATTCGGTGAAGGCATGCCAGACGAGTTGGCGGTTGAGGTACTCGAAGCTGACTTCGCGGGAGGTTGAGTGCGACGAGGGGGTCAATCGCAACCGGAGGAGACGGTCGGTGATTGTTCTGTAGCGACCATCGACGAGGAAGACGAGGAAGCTGGCAAGACCGAGCACATCGTGCGCATTCCCAGCCAACTCACTCAATCTGCCCAGCAGTTTGAGGCGCGCGGATTCAGGCCGTGTGTAGTCTTCGGACGTGGACAAGAGGTACTCCTCCCACTTTGTCCACGCATATCTCCCACCGACAGTAATGGCGCCATAGGCAATCTTCTGCCAGGGCTTCGGGGGCGGGCGATTGGGGGCACTGCTGCGGGCATCGGTATAGCGCAGCCCCTGTAAATGGGCGCCGTAACTGGCATTCTGGTCCCAAATGCTCAGCTTCCACAGTACGGCGCGCAGCAGCAGCAGGATCTCGGCCGAGTAGTTATCGGTGACATGTGAGCCAAAATACTTCAGACCCTCGCCGACTTGGTCTTTGAGTAGCGTCAGCAGCTCCTCGTCGAGGAGTTCGGCATCAACCTGGCCGACACGGAACTCTGGGCGCGTTCCCGAGCGGCCCTTGATCGCGTCCCAAACATTGAATCCGGCCGAGGAGACAGCGTTTAAGGGGAAAGGAAGGCGTGCGAGAGCGCGGGCAGGGCGTGATGGCTCATGGTGATTGCGCTGCTGGAGCGCGCGCTGTGCGCGGCGGGCTGCTATGCGTTGCTGGGCGGCGGCGAAGTCTGCGGAGTGCATCGGGAAGCATTGGGAGGCTGCCGGGCGCAGGCAGGGCAGATGAGGGTGTGGCGAGGGGGATGTGGGCGGGAGGAGACGGCGGAGGAGATGGCGGAGGTGAAGGTGGTGATATCAGAGCCGCGGTCGCGCACTCGTACTCGGAGGAACGTGATGAGGAGGGCTATGGGCCGAGGTTGGCTGGGCATGCACAAGCCGATGGGCGCCATGGGCCCCGGGGAGTGCAGACACGCCACAGCAACAACGGGTATGTGAGCACGCAGCATGGCCTGTATGCGATTCGAGCAAAGAGAAGGCCGTTCCTCTTTGTTTTTGTGTCTGTCCTTAGGCCGGTGTAGTACTATAAGTATATCAAAAAAGTTTAATTGCTAGTCCGCTCTCACCGTCGGTCGCAGAGGCCCGAGCTGGCGACGCGGGGACAGCAAACATGGAATTTACTTCGACTCCAACAAATAAGCAGACATCTAACCTGCAGCCTAGTATTCACTGACCCCGGGTGAGCAGGCCTCCATGTTGCCTTCATTGCTCACTGTATACACCCAATAGCAACATCTCATTCTGAATCTTTCGTCTGCTTCACACTTGCACTGTGCTGCATCTCGAACTACCCCACCACGGCCGCATATCCACCTAGTGAATGCATATATACATAAACACAACAAACAACAGTACTCGATGAGCGCCAGCTTCCAGGTCGAAGTCCCCGGCGAGGCCAATCCTCTGACCGAGGGAATTCTCTTCCATGTCCTGCGCTCCGCCTCGTCCGCAGACCAGACGCAGGTCCAGAGCGGCGCAAAGCAGCTGCAGCACTGGGAAAAGACACAGGGCTTCTACCCTCTGCTTCAGGTACACCAAATGTGACGCATATACGTGATATCTATACTAACACAATCCAGTCCGTTTTCCTCGACCATTCCCTCCCGCTCGAAGTGCGCTACCTAGCCATTATACAATTGAAGAATGGTATCGACAAGTACTGGCGCAAGACTGCCACCAAGTACGCCCACCGCTCTATTCATATGACCGCACCACACCTCTTCTAATAATATGGCAGTGCGGTGACAAAAGAAGACAAGGCCACTATCCGAGCACGTCTACTCGAGAGCGCCGTCAACGAGGCGGATCCCCGGCTGGCCCTCCAAAACGCCCTGGTAGTAGCAAAGATTGTTCGCTTCGAGTTCCCCAATGACT